TTCCTGCTTTCTGACCATGGACACATGACCAGCTGCCTTAGCACCCTCCCGCACACTTTCACCGCCATGATGGTCCCTTCAAACTATAGGCCAAATAAACCTTCGTTTAAGTTGCGTTTGTCACAATGATAGAAAAGTAACTCATACAGAAAACTGATATGGAGGAATAGGCCACTGCTGTGACAAACCTGGTCCACGACTTGCAGGCCTGTGGTGTAAAGAATGCCTGGAATGCTATAAGCAAAACTTACTAGGCCATTCGGGTGGGCATTCGAAAAGACCAGAATGTCCACAGAAATGTGGCCACCGAAGGCCAGGCTCATGAAGTCTCAGAGGGGAACGAACAAGGATTCTATTGGGAGCTGAGCTAGAGGCCACCTGTGTTACGTTCTGGCAAACAATCTGGTCATGCCCTTAACATCGGAGGCCAAATTCAAAAGCAATGGGCTAAATTGTCTGGTGGAGTAGATTTCAAGACAGCATGGCATCCGGGCTGCCGCACGGTCACTGCTGACTGCTCTAAGTCAGACGGTGAGAAGGAGCATGAAGATAGAGGGCCAGGAAGATGTGGACAAAACATCTGTAAGTGAGGGGAAACCTCACACTCTGCACTGAGAAATAGGAAAAGCATCCTTAGGGCAAGACTCACTCACAGAAAGGTCCAACTGGTAAAAAGGCCAACTCCAGATGGCAAGATGGTTCAGAAGGGAAGAGCAAGTCTGGCAACCTGAGTTCAGTCCCCAGAACCCACATAAAGAGGCAAGGAGAGAAATAATTCTACAGATTTATCTATATCCTGGTATCTATGCACAACATGGCATGCATGTAGACATGCACCAATACACACTCACGCACACAATAATAATAGTGTTTTTGGTTTTGGTTTTTTTTTTTTTTTAAGAAAATGGAAACTTATTTCAAAGAGCTTGGACCGAGAACGCCATCAAATGAAAACAACTACTTTGGGAAGTATTTTCCCAAGTTTAGCTGCTAAGACACAGAAGGTCACTCCAGCCCTAGTGGAAGGGGCCATCTCCTCAAGCTGACAGCGGAACCTGACACTGTCCACAGGATGGTTTTTGCAGGCATGCAAGAGGGGGCAGGGTTGAAGTCCTTGCAAAGAGGCGGAGAGGCCACCGAATGAAGCCAGAAAGGTAAAGCCTCAGTTGCAATGGAGATCTCAAGACACAGGATCTATCAAGACCAGACCAAGGAACATCTGCCAAGGGAAGCTGCAAGCACAAAACGGAGCAGACCCTAGAACGAAGCCTCAGGTATTACAGGCAGTGGTACTAAGGGGGCAAGGCTACCCACGGCTGCTACAGCCCAGAGGACTGCATCACAAGCCCAAGACAGCAGGCATGGAGCTGCACGGTTTGGTGTTTGCCCTCCACAATTTTGGGCCTTGCACTACTGGAGTATGCAGAGGATACATAGCAACCAGAGGACAACTTGTGGGAGTCAGTTCTCTCTTCCCATCATGCAGGTCCCAGGGACAAACTCAAGCAATCAGGTCTGGCAAGCGAGCGAGCCATCTCAACAGCCAGGGTTTTTGGTTTTTAGGGTTTTGAAGAATGTTAGAAATGTTAAGATTTGAGGCTCATGTCGATGAACTATAAAACCATCTTGCCTTAGGAGATGAGCCTCTAAGGTCCAGGGATGGAATGCTCAGATTTAAAATGTGTTTGGTGTCGGGTTGGACTTGTGATAATTAATCTGCATTGTTGATATGACCAAATTTATAATCACCTAGGAAACACTCCTCGGGGCATGTCTATGAGGGTGAAATTTTCTGATTGGCAAGTCTAAGAATGCAATCTTCCCAGTAAGAAGCACAACTCCCCAGGCAGCATTAGGCTGACCTTGGGAGAAGACATTCACATTCTAAGACATACCCCCCTTACCAGGCCTCGCCAGCCTCTACGGCAGGGTCATCATGGCTCATTCTACACACAAGCTTTCCACAGGGAGGCGGGCATCCCAGAGTATCTGCAGGCACTCACCATCCCATCCACCATCACTCCTTACTCTCCTGCCCACTCCCATACCTTCCCAGATCAGCTTTCTTGTCCTTCATGGAAGAAATCCTTTGCCAAGTCAACATAATCAGCTCCTGCCATCCCCATCCTGTTTATTGGTAACTGCTTGCAGTTCATAGGGGACCGACTCAACTGCTCATCGACCTGGGCATCTGTTGGAGCAGAAACCCCTAAGCTATTTCTGTCTTCTCTCTACCCTTCCTGGTCCTCTTCCATAATGACCTAGAACTCCACTCTCACGGGTGTCGGGTCTACTGGCTATACTTTATAACTAGATTTCATCCTAAGCATCAAGTGCTTAGAAAACTTCAGTGGTGCCTCTTTCTTTTCCTTCAGCACAGGCTACAAAGTGCCTTTATGAAATGCAAACATCACATCCTACATAAAAACATGGTTAGCTACAGAAAAGGCCCACCCCTTGACTGTCCACAACCTCTGCTTCTAGCCTGAAAACAGAGAGGGCCACTTCACCTCTGCCTGGGTACTTGTGGCCTGTGAGTACGTGTGGTGGGACTCAGCTTCAGCACCAGCCCAGCCACACCACAATGGAGAACCCCAAACCAGCTGGCCTCACACTCTGGGTGTGATGGGAGACCCTGACCACCTGTCATCAGAGTGAACCGGCCCCCTTCCCCAGGGACACAGCACATGGAGAGGGGAGTGAAGAATGCAAATCTAAGAAGACAAGACTCCGAGCACGCTGACTCACTAAACACGTAATGCTCCCTGAGATTATACCGTGCCAGTAATACAGCCTCACGAAGGCACGGGGGCCAGTACCCCATTTACAAACCATTTACCAAATCTGGTTCCTCTGTGGGCATGTGCTGAGCAGCATGTCTTGTGTCAGGGCAAACACATGGAGGAGAGTCGGGGCAAACACACAGCTGGACACGACACAATCGACCCAATACCACACACGGTTGCGATTTCAGGTGACCTCTGCAAGGTCTCCCAGGGTCTGACGTGACTCCCAAGAGCAGGCCCAGGGTTTGGTGACAGGGAGAGAGGCACCGTCTGGCCCACGGGGGTCGTTCATTAAGCACAGCTGAGTCCTGAGGGCCTCAAGTCAGCGGCCAGGACTCAGCCCCTGTACCTGGCCCCACCCCAGATGCAGCTCCACTACACCTGGACACAACTCTAGCTGACGCAGCATGTCCGCCTGTATTTCTGAGGTTGTGCGGGAAAAGTCAGAAATCTAATAGTCACAGAGCAGTGAATGCTGAGAAACGCTGAAAAGGAGACAATTCGTGCTGGAAGGAGTGAAAATGATATTGCAAAAATGTATGTGACCAACACTACAGACTGCATTTTTCAGACTAAGAGCCTAGCTCTCCATACCTGTTTCAAAAACAAAAAAAGTTATTCAAAATATCCAGTAACTTCACGATAAATGTAAAGCTAAACCAACCAGCATTTCCACCGTGTGTCATTAATCACCAAATGGCATCTTTCTGAGAAAAATGTGCCCAAACAAGTAGTTGATATTCAATCCATCAAAGCTGAATTATGGCCCTCCATACTACAAAAAAAACAAAGTACTGTGCAAGTTCCATGTTGACAGCTCTCCTGTATGGAAACCCGCTAACACACAACAACCCCTTCACACATTCATTTTAACTGAGAGTTGTATTCATTTTTTATTTATTTATTTATTTATTTAAACAGTCTAGCTAGATGAAGGGAAAATCAAGACAGCATCATCCAACCACAAATAACGTGACAGGCTTCAGGTGACAGAGCTCACTGGTGCAGGGGGAGGCATCCACCTACTGGCTCTCCATCCCTCACCTCCACCCCAGTTCCTGCGTGTAAAAACGAACCACGGCCGTGCACGTACGGCCACTCTGAAACAGAGAGAAAACTGCAACCACACCAGGCTAACATGTCTGCAGCACGAAGCAACCATACTTACATCTTTTGCCATGTTACCAGATCCAGGAAATCAAGGCTGTAACTGCGTACCCTCCACAGAAGAAACCGGACTTATCTGGTAAAAGGGAAGGGGACGATTAATGAGTGAGAATGAAAAAAGAAGTTTAACAGACATCGCATTTCAAAGGAAACATCTCCCCACCAGCACGAGGCAGGGCCTCCAGGCAGCAGGGGCCTTTCTTGCACAATCCCGACAGGAGAGCTAGCCAAGCGGGTCCCACACGGGGATTCTAAGTCACCTCTCCAAATGGAAATGCTCCCTGCGGCCACCAGCAGCTCCCACTCGCAGCGGGGGCCAGACCCCGACCCTTTGCAGAGCGAGGCGCAGCCGTCAGGCTCACCCCACCTGGGCGCGCGGGCCCCGTCTGACCACAGGCCCCACCGAGGCACAAGGCCCCCCACTTGGGCACACGACACTGCGTGGCTCCGCCCGGGCCGGAGCAGGCCCTCGGGCTGCCGAGACCCCAAGATGCCGCCGACCACTCTGACAGGTGGGCTCCCGGCCGCCCGCCCGCCCGCCCGCCCCACCTGTCACTAGGCCCGGCCACCAGCCCTGCGCGCTGGCGCGGAGAAAGCCGGAGGGTGGCCAGGACCCCTGCCCGCCGCCCACGCCACGCCGCTTCGAGGCCGACTCCGGGCTGAGGCTGAGCGGCGGGCGGGATGCAGCCGGACGCGGGAACCGGGCTGGGGCGGGAACGGGGCCGCGCGCCCAGCCCGCGCCCTCCCGCCGCGGCCGGCCGGCGCCCCCGCCACACCTGGCTGGCCGGCGGGGCGCGCGGGGCGGACGACGGGGGCGCGGGGGCGCCGGCCCGGAGGTCCGGCCCTGGCGGTCCCTGCCCTGAGCCAGCGGCGCCGGGACGCGGGCTCACCCTGGGCCGAGCGTCGGGCCGGCGTGACGTGCGCGCGGCGCGGTGACGTGGGCGGCGGCGGGCCCGCTCGGCGCAGCGCGCCTGCGCGCCTTTTCGCGCCTTCGGCGCCCTCCTCCTCCTCCTCCTCCTCCTCCTCCCGCCGCTCATCTCCCGCGCCTCTCGCCGGTGCTACCCGCCCTGGGATAGGGGAGGGGCCTGTGCGCGCGTGCGCGTGTGGCGGGACTCGGCTGGAGACCGCCCGCACTGAAAAGCGCTGCGCGCGCCTAGATGTGCGCATGGAGGCCACGTGTGTGCGCGCCTCTGTGTGTACACCAAGGGCCAACTGTATGCACGTCTGTGTGCATGCGCAGGGAATAGAGGGCCACGTGTCTGCCTCTGTGTGTGTGTGTGTGTGTGTGTGTGTGTGTGTGTGTGTGTGTGTGTGTGTGTGTGTGTGTGTGTGCGCGCGCGCGCGTGCGTGCTTGTGAGAGCGTGCCAACAGAGAAAGATCTGTGGTGTGTGCCCTAGCTGCATGTACACGTAGAAGGGCCACATGTGGGCACACGTGTATATGCAGATAGTATAGCTGTATACATGTATGTATGCATGGAGTATGAGTCGTGTGTGCACGCCTGAACATATATACAGGAAACCCTCTGTGCATACATATATGTATACATATATGTCTGTCTGCGCACAGAAAACATGCGTGTGTATGTGTGTGTGTGTATACAAACAGAAGGGCCAGCTATGTGCACATGAGGAAAAAGAAGTGAGTTGTGGGAGTGCCTTAAAGTATCTGTATGTGCACCCCAGGGCGAGGAGTCTTGTATATTTACACAGAATAAAGTGAAGACTGTTGGGATGCATACACATACTGGACACTGCAGACACATGGGGATCCCTGCTACTGCTCAACTATTGACCTCCACAGCCACATGGCCTGAACTTGGGTTGTCAATGATTCAGGGCAGGAAGCAGCCTGAAAGACAGCTTGTTTGCTCCTTTCACTTCAGAATCCATCCACTTCGTCCCAGGAGGGGTCTGGTAGACCCTGAGCCCTGAAGACTCAGTCCATCTTGGAGACCACTCCTTTAGGACTAAAGTTGGAGAGCCTGGGCAGAGAATACGCCAGGCCCCCCAAATCAGTCCAAATGGTTCAGACAGAATGGCCCTACTTTCCCCGAGAATGTGCAACTGAAGAGCAGAGTGCGGTTAAGAGAACTGTTCATGCCAGTGATGGATGTTGGTGTAAGCACCCTTTAAATGTTCATATTTCCTTTAAATAAGCTAAGATGTTGGGGGCCAGGCCAATTCGACTCTTGGACTGACACGTCCTTCTCTGTTGCCTAGCTGCCTGGGTCCCAGGACTCAGTCCCACAGCCCTTCTTTAGCATCCGACTGGACTGTCATGGCTGCTGTCCTGTTGCGAACACTCTTTCGATGCTCTAAGGAAGCTGCTCCTTGCTAAGCAGAACCGTGATTCCAGAGGCAACATCCAAGACATGACTATTTCAACAGCTTGCACCAGACTTTGTGCCAGCCATCACAAGCCTTGGTAAGCTCCAGTAACCATTTTCACCCAGGACACAGGGGTTGGGGGGGGGGGGGTTTCCCTCTAGTGGCCCAGCAGAAGGACTGTGATTGGTGCAAACATCCTTGCCACAACCAATTCCTGACTATATAAACGAGATATTTGGCTCACTTTTTCAGTAAGCTGGGTGAGTCTTTTGTCCAATGAAAGCTTCTCTCGAGTGATTGTACACTTTTATTATTATTATTATTATTATTATTATTATTATTATTATTTTACAAGGTAGACTGGTAATATGAAGAAATGACAAAGGCATCCGCAGAGCAGTGACAGCCGCAAGGGGGACTCTGAAAAGTTCCAGAGCGAGTTCTGGGGCAAGACGCAGCAGAAACCGGAAGACCTCACCAGAAGGTGAAGAGCCAAGATGTAGAAGGCCATGATGAGGCAGAGAAGAGAAACGGGGGTACCAGTCGTTGGAAGAGTTCCAGGGAGTTGCCAAGCCTTAAGGGGTAACAGTCTTACTCTAGGCTTGAAAGCTCCAACAATAATCAGTTCCCAGCACGCAGCACCCATGCAGAGCTGCAGCACTAGCAGACACTACCCATGGCTGCTGATGGAAGCTAAGGATTTTGGTAGCTGCCAAGTGTCGTGGCAGCTGGTAGTTAAAGCCCAGAGTAATCTAAGCCTCCAACTTCGGTAGCTCGAGCCATAAGCTTGCTTCTAGAGCCTGGAGCAATAGGCCCTTGGCTCTCAGGGAACAGAGTTGTAAGCCTCTGGATCTGCCAGTCATCCCATAAACGTCGGGCATGTAAGGGCTGGGATTACTAGCACTAGGGAATCGTCTCCTTGCCTGATCATGTGTATCTGGGTAAAGCAGAATGACCCAGCCAGCTGATTAGTAATATAGAGGTCAGAGCTGTACCAAGTGCTGGGCTAATTAACATCTATGAAGAGCTTTGAGGAGCACAGACCAAAGGCCTCCCTCAGAAATATGCAACATATTATTACTGGACACCCCTATTTTGCATGGCTTTACAATTAACCACCTTTATGCTGACTACACCTGCTCCTGCCACTTTGGCTAAGCCCCACCTCCTTAAGCTGTCAAGCATTTAATTAACATTGGTTCTGTGTGCCAGGATTGAAATCATGCATGGAAGCTTTCAGATAGCCAGGAGTCCTCCGATTCTCTAGATTCTCTAGTTCCCCTCCCCTCCCCCAGGTAACAGGAAAACAAAAGAAAGCCACCATCCTGGTCTCAACCCTGGGAAGTGAGTGGCACCTGCCTCCCATGTGTATTTAACAGGGGCGGATTTCTTAACTCTGCCAAGTAACTTTACATGACAACCGCCTTCACTGTGGATTGTTTCGGAGAGCCATTAACTCAGTTCGCTGCAGGCTGCAGAGGGTCCTCATCGCATTCTGGGAGCCAAATTGACAGGAGTCGGAAACCAGTGCTGACCAGGCTGAACAGTGGAGCCAGAGAATGCATAGAATGGGTGGTTTGGGGGAAGCGTCACAGCGGATCGGTTTCCCGAGTTTTGCTTATAATTTGTGACAGACAGACCTGTTTCTTGGGTGATGAGTAGCCAGGAAGCACTACAATAAATGGACTTCCAATAAGACGTACTCTCCAATATGCACCTTAGTTCCTGCCGTCTTCACTGAGACAGAAATACCCGAGAGAATTCACTTCAGGGAGGAAAGATGTATTTTGACGCATGGTTTCATGGTCATCTGACCCCAAACAGAATATCATGGTGGCAGGCGGTGGTGGCGCACGCCTTTAATCCCAGCACTCCAGAGGCAGAGCCAGGCGGATCTCTGTGAGTTCGAGGCCAGCCTGGTCTACAGAGCGAGATTCAGGACAGGCACCAAAGCTACACGGAGAAACCCTGTCTCGGGGTGGCGGGGGGTGGGGGGGATATCATGGTGGAAGAAGAATGTAGCTGAGAGGAGCCGTTCGTTCTTCACCCCTTGGGAAGCGGCGATTGAAAGGGGTTCTTGTGTACCATTTCCATCCTGTGGGGAGGATTCCTAATGTTCTGAGGGAGGCTCCTTAAGCCTCAGGAAGTAGAGGCTGGAGAGATGGCTCCACAGCTAAGAGCACTTGCTGTTCTTGCAGAGGACTGGGATCCGGTTCCTAGCACCCACACGACAGCTTATGACCACCTGTAATTCCAGGTCCAGGAGCTCTGGCACCCTCTACTGGCCTCTAGGCACCAGACATATGTATGGTGCACATCCATACATGCAGGCAAAAACACACACATTCCAAAAAAAAAAAAAAAAGTCAGGAAGTAAACAACTCCAGAGCTTCCAGAAGTCCCTGATACCAGATGCACTAGGAGCCTCCCTCCCCAAGCTTATGTAAGCAGTGGGGACTGCCGAGAGACAACCAGACAAGCCCAGCGGTGTGGAAAAGACTATGACCAACTGAGCTACACATTTCAACCGTGGAGATGCCTGCAAGTTGTGCGAACAGCTCCAGGTTTCCAGTTTTCATGAGTTGTCTCTGGGGTGGGTTTTGGTGATGTAGCTGTCTTTGGGTCATGTGGGGATCTCTGCGATCTTCACAGGTCACAGAGACAAGAGCCATGGGAGACAAAGTCTGAATCCGAGTTATTTAATTTGGGGATATTTAAACACAGCACAATTTGGTGAAAACTTTTCTTGTGAAGATTAGCTCAATACCACGTACACAACAGAGCACATCTAAATCTCTTTGAGAAACAAAGCAAGCTAACTCAGAGCAGACAACTATGACGGAACTCTTCATAAGGTATGTGCGACACCTTCTGTAAAGATGGGCTCTAAAGATTGACTATATGTGATACCTTCCACAAAGATGAGTTCCATGGATGGACTAAGAAAAACCAGTTTACAAGAAGGGTCAGGAGGAGGGTCTGGTGCCAGAAAGTCTTTGGCCATGCAGATTGCGCAAACGTCATCCGGCTAGAAAACATGTCCACTCCAGCCTTCTGGGTGTAAAACAGGTTTTGCATTCCTTCCTTCCCTGGAAGGAACAACCCTTTGTGTTTAACATTCCAGGTCCCCCTGGTGCGTGTCTGTGAGCACGAAGGCCCGCATGTCCCCTCCAGGGGCATTTCTGCTCACTCATATCCTTGTAGTAACACCAGTAAAACTCACTGGCTCACCACGATGGGCTCTAGCGGGAGCCTCATTTTGTCCTGTGCTTGGTTCTCTATCTGGGATGAGCAGATGTTTTCTTCGCAACGTGTTACACAACAGGGCTACAGGAAGGAGTCGAGATGAGATTAACCCAAAGGACATGTCTCCAGTGACCTGATCCCGGGCGATAGGCCCCACCTCCTCCATTTCGCCTTCTCTCAATGATGCCATCATATTATGACTTCACTGAGGGATTAATCCACTGACTTGGTCAGAGCCCTCAGGTCTCTGGAAATGCCCTTACACATCCCCAGAGGTGTGCTTTATTCATATCCTAGGCATTTCCTAAGCCAGTCATATTGACAATCAAAATTTCCATCATGGGGCCTGAGGAGACAGTTCAGTGGGTAAAATGTTTCCTGTAGAAGCATGATGTCCTGAGTTCAGATCCCCAGCATCCATATAAAAAGCCATAACATCAATGGTTCTCACCCTTCCTAACGCTGCGACCCTTTATTACAGTTCCTCGTGTTGTGGTAACCCCCTAACCATAAAATTATTTTCGTTGCTACTTCATAACTGTAATGTTGCTACTGTTATGAATCGTAATGTACATACTTGATATGCAGGATAGTCTTAGGTGACCCCTGTGGAAAGATCATTTGGTCCCACCCCCATCCCACCCCCACTCCTGCAATGGGTCATGCCCCACAGGTTGAGAAACACTGCCATACCACTTGGGCCAGGGTTTAGGAAGAGACAAGCAGATCTCTGGAGCTCACTGGCCAATTGGTGCTGTTTCTATCACAAAGTATAAGAAATGTTAACAGGGACCCGGCCCCTGCCCCTGCCCTGGAGGATATTCCCTGTGATTAAAGAACAGCACTGTCCTTACAGCCACTGGGAGGTGTGACCTGTACCAGCTTGGGGGGTCCAGCCGATTTCTTCATTCAGCAGTCTAGTTGTTATTTTCAATATTGAAGTAAGCAATGAAAACTTGGACTGTTATTCTAAACCTGTGTGCTTTTCCCGTCTGCTCCATTTGCTCTACCTGGGAGCTGTGGTGTTTGATGCTTATATATTTATAATTGTTATATTATCTAGGTGAATCAGCTCTTACAGCAACTGGCCCTTTTTTTTTTTTGGTTTTTCGAGACAGGGTTTCTCTGTGTAGCTTTGCGCCTTTCCTGGTACTCGCTTTGGAGACAAGGCTGGCCTCGAACTCACAGAGATCTGCCTGGCTCTGCCTCCCGAGTGCTGGGATTAAAGGCGTGCGCCACCACCGCCCGGCCGCAACTGGCCCTTTTACATCATGTCTTTCGTGACCATTTTTGACATGAAGTCTATCTGTCCTAACATGGTATAACCACTCTCATCCTCTTTGGCATGAAGTCTGTCTGTCCTAACATGGTATAACCACTCTCATCCTCTTTGGCATGAAGTCTGTCTGTCCTAACATGGTATAACCACTCTCATCCTCTTTGGCATGAAGTCTGTCTGTCCTAACATGGTATAACCACTCCCATCCTCTTTGGCATGAAGTCTGTCTGTCCTAACATGGTATAACCACTCTCATCCTCTTTGACATGAAGTCTGTCTGTCCTAACATGGTATAACCACTCCCATCCTCTTTGACATGAAGTCTATCTGTCCTAACATGGTATAACCACTCCCATCCTCTTTGGCATGAAGTCTGTCTGTCCTAACATGGTATAACCACTCCCATCCTCTTTGGCATGAAGTCTGTCTGTCCTAACATGGTATAACCACTCCCATCCTCTTTGACATGAAGTCTGTCTGTCCTAACATGGAATAACCACTCCCATCCTCTTTGACATGAAGTCTGTCTGTCCTAACATGGAATAACCACTCCCATCTTCTTTGACATGAAGTCTGTCTGTCCTAACATGGTATAGCCACTCCCATCCTCTTTGACATGAAGTCTGTCTGTCCTAACATGGTATAGCCACTCCCATCCTCTTTGACATGAAGTCTGTCTGTCCTAACATGGAATAACCACTCCCATCCTCTTTGACATGAAGTCTGTCTGTCCTAACATGGAATAACCACTCCCATCCTCTTTGGCATGAAGTCTGTCTGTCCTAACATGGTATAACCACTCCCATCCTCTTTGACATGAAGTCTGTCTGTCCTAACATGGAATAACCACTCCCATCCTCTTTGACATGAAGTCTGTCTGTCCTAACATGGAATAACCACTCCCATCCTCTTTGACATGAAGTCTGTCTGTCCTAACATGGAATAACCACTCCCATCTTCTTTGGCATGAAGTCTGTCTGTCCTAACATGGTATAACCACTCCCATCCTCTTTGACATGAAGTCTGTCTGTCCTAACATGGTATAGCCACTCCCATCCTCTTTGACATGAAGTCTGTCTGTCCTAACATGGAATAACCACTCCCATCTTCTTTGGCATGAAGTCTGTCTGTCCTAACATGGAATAACCACTCCCATCTTCTTTGGCTTATTTGCACTGACCATTCCCCATTCTTTCATTCTCAGCCACTGTGTGTTCACAGAGCTTAAGTCTTTTATAGTCAGTATATACTGGGATCTGTTCTTTATCATTCTGCCAATTTGTGTTTTAGTTGAGCTTACTATTTACACATTTGTATATTTCGCCCACTAGCAAATTCATATTTACTTCATGCATTTCCTCTTTAAATTCTATTAGAAAAAGAATAAGAGTCATGTGTGATGATGGGCCATACCAGAAATTCACACATTTGGGAGTCTGGGGCAAGAGGATTGCCATGAGTTCAAGGCCAGCCTGGGCTACAAAGTGTTCTCCAGACTGACATGGGCTTCAGTCTATCTGCCTCTAAAGAAAAAAAATGAAATTAAAAATCAAACCACATGAGGGTGGAGAGATGCCTTGCTAGTTATAAGTACTGCTGCTTTTCCAGAGGACCTAGGTTCCATTCCTAGCACCCACATGCTATCTCACAACCATCTGTAACTCCAGTTCCAGGGAATTCAATGCCCTCTTCTGACCATCGTGGGCATCAGGCATTCATGTGGTGCACATACAGAGATACATGTATGGGCAAAACACCCATACATATAAATTTTTTAAATTAAAAAGACCAAGCCATGCTGGGAGGTGGTGGTACATGTCTTTAATCCCAGTACTCAGGAGGCAGAGGCAGGTGGATCTCTGAGTTCCAGCCCACCCGGGGAAATGCAGAGAAAGCTTGTCTTGAAAGACCAAAACAACCAACTAAACAAACAAGCTACAAAGTCCCTCAGCATTTTCATTTTTAATCTGAAGAACATCCTATCATCTCCCCTATTTTTAAGTTTTCTGTGTATACATGTATGCCTGTGTATATGTGTGCAGGGACCTGCAGAGGTCAGAAGAGGATCTGGAATCCCCTAGAGCTGGAGTTACAGATAATTGTGAGCCACCAAGCTATCCAGTTCTCTGGAAAAGCAGCAAGTGCTCTTAACCAATGGACCACCTCTCCAGCCCCCACATCCCTTACTTTTGAAGAACAGCTTTGCCAACTATAGAACTCTTGATTGGCAAGTCTTGCTTTTTT